TGGTTGTCTGACTTCCATACAGTTTGATTTTCTGTCAGTTCTGGTTGCTTTTTGTTTTTTTTTTTTTGTTTTTTAATATTTTATTTATTTATTTTTAGAGAGGAAGGGAGGGAGGGAGAGAGAGGGAGAGAGAGAGAGAGAGAGAGAGAGAGAGAGAGAGAGAGAGAGAGAGAGAGAGAGAGAGAGAGAGAAACATCAATGTGCGGTTGCTGGGGGTTATGGCCTGCAACCCAGGAATGTACCCTGGCTGGGAATCAAACCTGGGACACTTTGGTTCCCAGCCTGCACTCAATCCACTGAGCTACGCCAGCCAGGGCCTGTTTTTTGTTTTTAAATTTATTGTTGTCCTTTTGGTTGTGCAAGGAGGCACAGTGTGTCTACCTCCATCTCAGCCAGAAGTCAGGAATGAACTTCTTAGTAACAAACCAAGTCCAAGACCTCTAAAGACAGAAGGACATTTGATTGATAATCCTCATTCCCTCTCACATATTTCTCCCCTTATTGACATTAAAACAATGGCAAGTGTTAAACTCCTAGGAAAAATGAACATTTTAATCTAATCACTCTGATTCATGACCTACATTGGACCACGTAGAAACCCTCCAGAACACAATTTAGCATCTACAATGAAGGAATAGGGATGATTAATTGTTCTGTTTCATTCTAGTGTTCTGAGAAATTGCAGATATTTTCTTCTACAAAAGCCTTGCCATAACCCTCAGTCAACTATGTAGGTTGTGCTAACACTAGTCTTAAACAATTTAGGACCTTGCATCACAGTACTTTAGGGGAATTCTGAGGATGATGATAATTTAAGAGCATTGTGAAAAAGTTATCCTATCAAAACTTTGTAAGGCTGTCTATTACTCTTGAACAACTACATAAGAAATAAAAGCTCCCTTCTGCCCTGACTGGTGTAGCTTAGTGGATTAGGCATCATCCTGCGAACTGAAAGGATGCAGGTTCAAATCCCAGTCAGGGCACATGCCTGGGTTGCAGGCCAGCTCCTCAGTTGGGGGTGTGTGAGAGGCAACTGATTGATGTTTCTCTGGCACATTAATGTTTCTTTCTCTCTCTTTCTCACTCCCTTTCTCTCTAAAAATAAAACTTTTTTAAAAAGCCCTCCTCTGATCAACTTCAAACCCTATGAATATGAATTTTAGAATAGTATTATAGTAAATTTATCATTAGAGTAGATTCATTTTAATAACAAACCATATTTCAAAGCCTGAATTACAATGGCAATTCAATTATTTGAAAAGTTTATGGAACTTGTCTGAGGTTTCCCAGAACCCCAGGGTTACACTTTATGACATCTCAGTCATGTCATTTGCAGCCATTAAGAAATGCAATTCAGTACTTCACACAAAACCTCCACTGCTTTGTGAGTTAAGATTTCAGAAATGGCCTTGGCCAGGGAGTGTGGCTCAGCTGGTTGGAGCATCATCCCATAACCAAATTCAGAGTTGAGGCTTGGATGTCCAGTTAGGACACATGCCCAAGTTTCAGATTCAATCCCCGGTCCAGGTACCTACGGTCCCAGGTCCAGGTGTGTACTGGAGAAAACCAAATGATGTCTCTCTCACATCTATGTTTCTCTTTCTCTCTTCCTCTATCCTTAAAAATGAAATGAAAAAAAATGTTCTCAGGTGAAGATTAAAAAAAATTTCCTTCAGAAATATATTGTCTTTCTTGTAGTATCTTATGTCTCTCCTGTTCACTCTGGGGGGAGGGGTTATTCATTTTTCAGCCCCATTTGAAATGTACCATTTCCCCCAATATGCTATACTATTGTATGAACATCACTCTGTTCCTGTGGTGCAAACCTCCTATATTTAAAAATGCAGGTTAAATAGTTCCTCTCTGAAGCCTTCTTGCATCTTCCAATGCCACAGACATGTTTGTGCCTGCCTCAGGCTCCCCTTTCATTAATGAAGGGCTCCTTTCATCCTATGTGGTTTCAGCCCTTTCAGTCCCTCTGTCCCACCCACCCTTGTTTGCAGGGGGAGGGAAGATAAACTAAGCAAATTCCATCAGAATCCTTCCGTGAAATTTGCTGTGTGACATTAGCAAAGAGAGTCTCTTTCTGTAAAGAGGAAACTTTGGGGCTTCCTACAGTCATCTTTTATCCATGAGCATAGGTGGGAGACATAGAGAAAAGACTGAAAGATGGAGGGGAGAAAGGACAGGAGAGAGGAAAAAAGAAACACTGAAAGGAAAGAGAACAGGGCAAGAGAAAAATGAGAGAAATAGAAGGGAAGGAAAAGAATCAGGGAGTTGAGGTAACCAGATGACAAAATTTAAGCCAGTGGATTCATCTGTGCCTTAAACTAGCACTACACTCAGTTACATGAAACAATATCTTGAGTTTCTGCTCAAGTTAATGTGAGTTGGGTTTTTATCACTTGCAACCAAGGGTCCTAATAAACTTATTCTATTACCTTTTGTAACTTTTCCACACAGATTTAATCTCAGCACTATTGTTACTATTATTTTGTTTAAATATTTCTCCATCAGCTTGCCCATAAATTCACTGAAGGCAGGCCTTCTTATCTGTCTTTGTACTCCCAGTACCTCGCACACAGTATACTCCCAGCAAATGTCTGCAGGGTGGATCATGTGTACAACCTTTCCATCCCACTTAAAAATCAGAAACATCCCCCACCTCAAAAAATAAATAAATAAAATAAATCCAATATGTAAGTGGAAATTTAGCACAGATCTCACTAGTGGGGGAAAAGATGAATGCCTCTAATAACTGTTAGAGAAACCACACATTTGGAAAAGCTAAGTTAATATCAAGTACCAATGGTTCTCTGAGATGGGAGAACTATCCCTCTCACCTGAACCATCAGGAGATGAAGAATAAGGTTTACCCAAAATGCCCACCACAGATTGCCAGATGTAGAACCACTAAATTTGCTGATACTGTTAAGCTACCCAATTGAGTTTTATGAAAATGTATGGAGTAGGTAAAATATACTCATTTGTACATCTCAGATAAGGAATATAGCTAGGAGCTGAGGCTCCCCTGATCCCAATAAAATGGGTGGTAAATTCTGGAGATAGATCAGACTCCTCAGAGCAAAAGGAAATAGTTTTCAGCATAAATAAAAGTTCCTGGAAATTTGTTAACCCATGACATATATAGCAAAGGCTGTGAAGAGATATTGGCGTGACCTGGTGTTCTTTGTCTCACTTGAAACAGAAGCAGGGGTGTCCAACATACCACCCGTGGGCCACATGCAGCCCAGGATGGCTATGAATGTTGGCCAACATAAAATCATAAATTTACTTAAAACATTATGAGATTTCTTTGTGATTACATGCCACAATGTATTTAATGTGTGGTCCAAGACAATTCTTCCAGTGTGGCCCAGATACGCCAAAAGGTTAGATAACCCTGAAAGGCATCCCAATAGGATGTGAAGAGCCATATATTCCAGGGGACTATATTTTGGTTGATGCAGGGATTAGGCCACATCTTGGGGACAGAGAAGGGCATACTGAAGAGAGTAGCCTTTGGTGGACTTATACTGATTATGCAGATTTTACATTAGAACTCCAAATTTGCTCCTACCGTGGTTATGGTTGAAAGCACATAGATTAGAGTACATCAGCTCTGGGCTTGAGTTTTATCACCAGTTGGGTGAATTACCCAGTAGAGTCAACCATTTTGTTTGAATTCCAGTATCTCTAGATACAAAATGGGACAGCTCTTTCTCTACCCATCTTACTGGGTGTTAGATAAAACCTTAGAAATCCTTATCTTTCCCACAACATAATTCACAAAGTTTCTATACCACCTTTTTTTTTTCCAGTCAAAGATCCCTCTGAGGATTTATTGAAAAGTATGGACCCCTCTCCACTGAAAAAATGAACTTTTAAGTGTATTTGTACTCTCCCACACGTTTTTGCATATTATTTTTTAGAGAATCACAAAACTCCTGAAGTTCATTTGCAGGGGAACCAAGTTTTTAAAAAAGCCTGAATTAGATAAAACAATTTCAATGAACCAAAAGAATTTAACAAAACACAGACCTAGTAAAATAGAATTGTTCATTTCATCATGAATTTAATTGTTCAAGCAACATTATTAATCTATGAATTCTCAACATACTCTAAACTTATAGGTTAAATATCACTACATATTTCCTCAATGGTGATTACCATTTCATATGAGCTTCTTCTACAATCATAATGATAAAACAAATTGCTAAATGTTTTTTGGTAAGTAAATTCAGTGAGGCACTCAAATCCTAGAAGTGAACTGATAATATGACTCTCTTCTTCCCTTTATATAAGGAAACATGACCTTGTTTCCTTCATTTTCAATGCTTCTTTATAAAAAGACATGCTTATCTTGAACTTGTCTAAACATAGGCTTATATGCACTAATCCATTATTGTGTAGAGTTATAATTAAGGAAACCACCTCATGTTGATAGTTCATTAAAATCGGAATAAGGGAAAACAGAGTAGAGCAGAAAAGCAATTCCTGAGGAAATGGTTTACATCTACATCCCCAGTACTTAGCATAGTGACTGGAATGTAGCAAGGACTATATAAAGTAAACTTTAATTTCATAGGGGATGTATTGCCTTTATTACTAGATCATTTCTCTAGAAGAGCAATTTTCAGCTGGTGTGTCATAAGAATTTTTAAAACATGCAATACCTGACTATTTAGTCAGAGACACTGATCTCTTTTCTCTTAGATTGTCAAACAAAAAAAAAAATGACAACAGCCAACACAATAGCCATCTGGTGTGAATAAATCAAAATTATACCTATTTGTCAGATAGACAAAATCTAGAATTTTTTTGGTGTGTTGCAGAATTTTAGTAATTAGTTAACATGTGCCATGAATTGAAAAAGGTTGAAAATCACTGCCTTAGAAGAAAGGAAAAGACAAAAACAAAAATTCTAACAGAATTTTCTGAGAAAAAAAGTTTTAATTTATACATTTAGCTCTTTATAAAATATATTTATTTAGCTCTTTATAAAATACAGGGATGGGCAAAAGTAGGTTTATAGCTGTGAGTATATAAAACAGTTTATTCTTGTATTATTATATTTTATTTATTTTGCACAGGAACGACTGTAGGCCTACTTTTGCCCACACCTGTATATTTAAAAACCCCAGGCAAAAGCCCTGTCATTCATTTGTTTCAAAAAACAAATCATTTCAGTTGTCTTCCTTAAAGTTCTTGCAGTTTCTTCATCTGGTCTCAGGGAAGGGCATAGGATGCATGCTTTACACCATCAGGAAAAAAATCCAGTAGGGAGAAATCTTGTTGCAATGGGTAGCTGTTTTCATCTAACACAAAGAGGCTTTGCACCTTCACTACACAAGGTGCACCGCCACCTGCCAGCAGGGAGTGGAACAAGTCTGCTGCAACCATGCCGTAGGTGATCTCTGAGGAAGGGGCTGAGGAACATGAAAACACAAATACACAGCTCTTAGTGTCTTCCCAGTTGACAGAAACACACACACTGAATGAAGGGTTCATTGTTTCCCTTGCTTTCTCAAGTCCCAATTCTACTTTAAATTTCTCCTTTTCTTCCTTCTCTTTCTAGTCATATGTTGCTGAAGTTACTCTAGAATGACGACATGCAATTCCTGCTGATCATGGAGGGAAGTCATAGATAACACACTATTCAAACTGACAGCGCTGCTACTATGGTGCAGCTATTGCTTCTTAAAACAATGGAAGAGCTGAGATTAATTTTTCTTAAATTTAGCCTAAAAAAAAAAAGGGTTTGTCCATTATCAGGAAAGTATTCTTAGGCTTCCAGTCAAGATGGAAGAATAGGTAAACACAGTACTGGCAACCTCCCATAACCACATTAATCTTACAACTAAACCACAGAACAACCATAAATGAGAACCACCTGAAATCTAGCTGAACAGAAACCCTATAACTAATGATATAAGAAGCCACCTAGGGACTGGTAGGAGGGGCAAAGAACCCCAGGATGTGATGGTCCCACACCCACATGTGGCAGTTAAAAATCAGGAAGGATACTTTGGTTGCAGAGGTCCCCTCGGAGGAGAGAGGGTTCCTAGCCCCACACCCGGCCCCGAGCCCAGAGTTCCAGTGCCAGGAAGAGAAAACCCCATAACTTCTGGCTGTTAAAACCAACAGGGATTGTAGCTGAGGGAGATGGAGGACTTCTAGAGTCACAGATGTTCCTCTTAAAGGGCCAACACGAGGACTTACTTGGACTAACTTCTGAGTTTGAACACTGGGGCCACAGCTCAAAAAGCACCAGGAACATATGGGGAGGAGCTGAACTGTATGGCATCAGGGCAAGAACTGGAGAGGCAGCTTTCTCTCAGACAAAAGTGCTAGAAGATACCACTGTTTCTTTTCTGAGCCCTCCCCGCAAAAAGCTGGCAGGTGGATGAAATAGCTGAGTCTCCACCAATGTGGCTAGCACTGTTAGCCCCACCCATCTTGAAGGATCACCCAAGCTATTTCCAGGGGCTTTTCTATACAAATGGCCTGTCTTGGCTCAGTCTTCAAACTTTCCTAAAATCTTTCAAACAAGCAGCATCAGGCCTTGGGTGTTCTGTATCTCTTGCTAAGTGGCCCCAGGTCCAGCACTAGTGGCAGATGACCTTGGTTCACAGCTTGGCCTCTTCTGGGCACCTCCAATGCCAGCACAAGTAGCAGCCACCTACAGATTGATATGTAACTCAGTCTGGGTGGTCCTATACAGAACACAGGTGGGAGCTGACCTGCACCTTCTCAAGAGGACCTAGAGTCAGTACCCAGTGGAAAGTTTCAGACCATATTGAAGCACCACCACCCAACCATCTCCATGAGCAACACACTCATGGGGTGAACACAGCAGGCACCACAGCTCCACTGAAGTCCTGCTCCATGGAATGGACCCCTGTACAGCTGATCTTCCATGGTGGTCACAGCCAGTTCTTGAAGCTAATCAGCCTAGGGGTAAACCCCTCCCATTAATGTGCCAATAGCAATCAAGGCCTGACTGAACAGGAGGGTATACATAGCCCACACAGTGGACACACCTGGAATGCCCAGCTTGGGTGAACAAGAGAGTGTGCCACTGGACTCCACAGGACACCTACAACATTAGGCCACTCTACCAAGCCTGGGAGATGTAGCAGCTCTACCTAATACATAGAAACAAACACAGGGAGGATGCCAAAATGAGGAGACAAAGAAATATGGCCCAAATGAAAGAAGAGAACAAAACTTCAGAATAAGAACTAAACAAAAGGAAGACAAGCAATCTATTAGATGCAGAATTCAAAACACTGGATGTAAGGATGCTCAATGAATCTACAAGAAGAGTAGATGAACTTAGACAGGACTTCAAAAGCATATAAAAGGACTTAGAAACTATAAATGAGAAGCAGTCAGACAGGAAGGATACATTAACTAAAATGAAGAATAATTTACAGGAAATCAACAGTAAAGCAGATCAAGTCAAGAATCAAATCAGTGATGTGGAATATAAGGAAGCAAAATTATTCAATCAGAACAACAACAAGAAAAAGAATTTTAAAAAATGAGAGCAGTGTAAGGAGTCTGTGGGAAAACTTCAAGTGTACCAATATTCACATCATGGGGGTGCCAGAAAGTGAAGACAGCAAAAAATTGAAAACCTATTTGAAAAATAACAACAGAAAACTTCCATAACCTGGTGAAAGAAATAGACATACAAGACAAGAAGTGCAGAGAGTACCAAACAAGATGAACCCAAAGAGGCCCACACCAAGACACATCATCATTAAAATACCAAAGGTTAAAGACAAAGAGAGGATTTGCAATAAGAGCCCTGGCTGAGTAGTTCAGCTGGTTAGAGCATTATCCTGATATGCCAAGATTGTGTGTTCAATTCCCAGTCACAGCACACAGAAGAGTCAACCAATGAATGCATAGATAAGTGGAACAACAAATCAATCTCTCTCTCTCAAAATAAATGAATGAATGAATGAATGAATAAATAATTTAAAAAGAGAGAGAAAGAAAGAGAAAAGAAAAGCAATTAATTATTTTCAGGGGAGCTCCCATAAGACTGCCTGCTGATTTCTCAACAGAAACTTTGCAGGCCAGAAGGAACTAGCAAGAAATATTCACAGTGATGAAAAAATAAGGACCTAAAACCAAGATCACAATATCCAGAAAAGCTACTATTTATTTTCAATAGAATTGAAGGAAAATAAAGAGCTTGCCAGACAAGAAGTTAAGAGCTCATCACCACCAAATCAGTATTACATGAAATGTTAAAGGGTCTTTTTTAACCCTGCAGAAGTCACAGATGATCTGAGAGATACAAACTCTTTTCTTAAATATTGTTACATACATCAGGTGCACAGGTTCAAGTGACTAGCTGCATGCCTGTACGTGACTAACACAAATTGATGGAAATTCCAATGACAATACAGATACAACTCCCTCAACAAGCAGAAAAAGAAAAAGATGCATTAGGTGCTATATAACCAAAACAAGTTGCATATCAATATATTATTTTAAGTGTTGTGAAAAGTATTTATGCCTTGAACATAGCAATATTGTTTATGATGACTGTTACAAACTTTTTGCAAACCCAAGTATTAAAGATTCTGATTAATTAATGTTAAAGACATTTTTTGTTGTATTTTTAGCAATATCCCTGTTTTTGTTACTTGAAAAGAAAAATTTGTATTCTTTGTTTTTATATTTCTTTGTTTAATAATTTCTAGAATGTAACTACAATAAATTTAAAATCATGTATTTTATTATATAAGTATAATAAATACAAATTTTCAGTGGTTTTATTTTTTTTCACATTCAGTACATGCTAGTAATGAATGTATCTCAAGTACATGAGACCTATGCTGTGATTTTTTTTTTTTACTGCAACCTCTGCAGGGTTAAGGAAAAGAAGAAGAATAAAAGATAAAAAATATGAACAATAGAATGGCAGTACATCCATCTCTATCAACAATTGAATCTAAAAAATAAAATCAACAAACAAGCAGAACAGAGAGACTCACAGATACAGAGAACATTTTGACAATTGCCAGATGGGATGAGAGTTGGTGATATGGGTAAAAATAAGTGAAGGGAGCCCTGGCTGGTGAGGCTCAGTGGAATGAGTGCAGGCCTGAGAACCGAAAGGTTATCAGTTCAATTCCCAGTCAGGGCACATGCCTGGGTTGTGGTCCAGGTCCCCAGTTGGGGGCATGCAAGAGGCAACTGATCAATGTATCTCTCCCACATCAATGTTTCTCTCCCTCTCCTTCTCTCTTCCTTCCCTTCTCCCTAAAAATAAATTAACAAAATCTTTTTTAAAAAGAAATGAAGGGATTAAGAAGTACAAATTGGTTGTTACAGAACAGTCACAGGGATGAAAAGTACAGCATAGGAAATATAGTCAATAATATTCTAATAACTATGTATGGTGTCAAATGGGTATGATATTTATTGAGATGATCACTTAATAAGTTATATAATGTTTAACTACTGGAGTGTACACCTGAAACTAATATTATATGTGTGTCAACTGTAATTGAAAAATAAAAAATGCTTAAAAAATAATTTGACAAATACTAAAAACGAGAGAGAGAGAGAGAAGTACCCATAACTTCTGGCAAAGAAAACCAGTGGGGATGGTGGCTGAGTAAACAGGGGGCTGCTGGAGTTACAAGCATTCCTCTTAAAGGGACCCACACATGGATTTAGTTGGACTTACTCTGAGTTCCAGTGCTGGGGCAGCAGCTTGGAAAGCCCCACGAACGTCCAGGAAGGAAATGAATTGTCTGGCTTTCAGGTGATGGCTTGGAGGGGCAGTTTTCACCCACACAGAGGTATTGGTAGAGGCTAGTGTTTCTTTGCTGAATCCTCCCCCTGTAGGTGTAGCTGGCGCTACATCTGAATCTACATCAACTTGGCTAACACTAGTCGCCCTGCCCTGGTGATTCCCTGAGACCCTACCAACTCAAGCCACTTCCTGTGGCTTTTCTGTACAAATGGCCTATCTTGGCTCATACTATGAACTTTCCGAAAATCTCTCAAAAAGTTTACAAAACCCAAACAAGCAGCATCTGGCCTCAGTGTACCACAGATCTCTTGCCTTTTAAGTGGTACCAGGTACAGCACTACTGGCCAGACTCTTCATGGCTTGGTCTTTACCGGGCACCTCCAAGCCCAGCACTATCAGTAGCCATCTGCAGATCACTTTGTAGCTCACACTGGGTAACACCAGGCAGGACATAGGCAGTAGCTGACCTTAACCTGCACCTACTGGGAGGCCCCAGAGCCAGCACACCCAGTGGCCACTTCAGATCATGCTGGAGTACTACAAAACCACCTCTGTGAGCAACACACTCGTCAAACTCACCAGGTACCAGAGCCCTGCTGAAGCAAGTTCTGTTCTGTGGAGTTGGCCTCTGCACAGTAGCATCCC